TCCATACATAGATCAGCTAGACCTTAGAATTCCAGAAATACATAGACAGCAAATCACTCATTGCTAAGTACTGCAGCCATCACCAATAGTTTCACACACTTGAAAATCAATGCTTGGCAGATAGCTCAGTGGCACAGTGCCTGCCAGGAAAGCACAAGGTCCTGAGGTCAACTTCCCGTAGGCAAAGAGCTTGCAGATTTAAAGTATATCATAATAGGAACCGGGTATGGTGGTGCACACCTGCAGTCTCAGCACTTGGGAGGTTGAGGCAGGAGGATCTCTGCAAGTTTGAGACTAGTCTGGGGGCTACAAAACTGAGCACACGACCAGCCTGAACTGCACAGAGACCCTGTCTCAATCAATCAATCAATCAATCAATCAATCAATCAATCAATGATAAAGCATACTGTAATATATTTGTCCTCTTGGAAAGCAATAAAGTATCAATTTGGAAAAACCAAAACCAACCAAAACTTAATATTCTTTCTTCAGAATAGTGGAAAGAGCACTAGAGTTGCAGTCGCTTAACCAGGGATTGAGTTCTGACAGTATTATATAATGTCTGTGTAGATTGGTGAAAATTATCAGCTCTTATAAAGATCAACCTCACATTCAACCTTACAGTAATAATTGTGGTATTACTTATTGTGTTGCAAAAATTATTCCAGGTTGTTTGCATGGAACACTAGAATCCCATGACTCCATGGGAAGTAGAAAGTACTATTATTACCATCACCATTGCATATTTAGAAACAGACCTATGCTCTTGATTGCAAACCACTATGACACCTGCCCTTCACAATATCCCCTCTCTAGGCTTGCCATGAAAAATATCCAATATGTTATACACTAAGCACAAAAATATTACTTTACTTTATCTGGAAAAGATAATAAGTATTCTAACCATCATAGTTTTACCATGTATACAGGGACGTGGTACCAAAATTTTAAAGAATAACAGAAACATTATTCAATGATTCTTGCACCAAAGTGCATTGATTCACTTTGATATTTAAAATGCAGGGGCTGGCCAAATAGCTTAGAGGATTAAAGTGCCTGCAAGCAGGTGCAGGGTTCGGGGGTTCCATCCCCAGTCCTGCCACGCTGAACCCCCCCCCCCCCAGGTGCATTGAGATGGGAACTGAGACTGGGTGTGGTGGCGCGTGCATGTAATCTCAGCTCTTGGGAGGCTGTAAACAGGCGGATCACTACGAGTCTGATTTAGTAGTGAGACCCTAAACACCCTGTAGACCCTTTCCTAAAATACAAAATAAATAAATAAAATAAAATGCAGATTCTCTCAACTCCTCTTAAGTTCATTTCATGTGCGGTAAAAATCAGGAATGTTTTAATTACAAGTTCTGCAAGACATTTTGATGCAATTAACTTACAGAAAATTTTGAAACAATAATCACTCAAACTCAAAGTTTTATAAATAGTGTAAGCTTACCTCCTGTCTCTACCAGATTTTGCTAAAGCTATAAAACCCAGCACCTCAGGTTGACACTATATTTGGCAATAAAGCCTCTAAAGAGCTGATTAAGTGGTGATGGGTCTGGGAGGTGGAGGGCTGACTATATGATTAGTGTCTTCTCAAAATTAGGAGCTGTGGACACAGGTCACTCTGGGAAGCCACACAAGGACACAGTAGGAAGGCAGCCAGCTGCCACCTGAGGGGAGAAGCCTCAGAAGGAACAAAACCTGTGCACACCTGGACCTTGACGCTCCAGGCTCCAGGACTGTGAGGAATAAACTTCTAAAATCACCCAGTCTGATGCTTTGTTCGTTACAACAATTCTAGCCAGCCAGTATAGTAAACAATATTTTGAAGTGGAAATAATAGCTACTGAGGTGACTTGATAAATAAAGTCTGCCCATTTTTTAAAGATGAAAGAGTTAGCTTTATTAAAATAACTAAATCATTTGAAGATTTTTCTGCCTGCTCTTTCAAGGATGACAAGCAAGTTACTGAAACCAACTAAGAAGAAGACAAATGCCACTGAGAAATTCTTTTTAAAGAGAACGTTTCTACTTTTACACCACTTCCCTGAGCTCTGTGATGTACTTATGGACAAAGGAGACTTTTACGTGTGTGTACATTCCAGAGTTACGACAGCATGGCGTATACGCCACGGGGCAAGTCCTCATCCAGGACGATGTGTAAAGACCTGCTGCCATCTTCAGCGTGAAAACCTTCTCCTGCATCTGCTCCAAACCCCGAGGGAAAGGATTTCCTCTGGTTCATCATCCTTATAAGCTCACCAATATCTATTTGGCATCGTTCCCTGTACTATTAAGCACAGTAAATGTTTGTGCATTGAATTTGAATCCATATATATATATATATATAATATATGTATATATATATGTATATAATATATATATACATATATTGTCTTTTTGAGACAGTGTTTCAAAATGGAGCCCAACTGGCTTTGAACTCACAGAGACTCTCCTGCCTCAGCCTCCTGAGTGCTGGGATTATGGATGCGTGCCACCAAGCCTGGTTCCTGAGTCCATATTTTTCAACTCTCATTTTAAAACTAGTGTGGTTGTTCTTACTAAAATACTATCCATTCAGTTAGCTACTTTTATTCTTAAGGTCAGATCTCTGTATCAAAATAAGTGGTTATTTTAGATACTTAATTTGAAAAAAATCATTAGAAAAATGATAGAATGACACATAAATCATCTAAGCAACAATTGTATCTCTCTCCAAATTATGTCTTGTTTCTATTTTAGACTGATAAGCCCGGCAAAATGTCATAAAGAAAGAACAAACATTTTGAATGACTTTTTGTTTGAAATTTGTCTTAAGACTTAATATTATTCTAGATGTCATTGATTTAATAACAGTAAAATAAGGCTGGAGGCCACCTCTGCAGCTTAAAATTAGTATTGGAGAATATTAGTACTTTTTCTTAATTAAATGAACAATTCATATGTCTTTAATATACAGAAAGCACTATGACAAAAATAATTAGCAGCCATTTGAATAACCTCCCTGAAACAATTTTCAATAAAAATCTGAATTTTTTTACAAGTTTTATTATAGTTTTTTTTTAAATTATACAGAATTCTACCCCATCATACAAACAAATGTGGGAAAAAAATCATCATTATTCCAACACTGCCTGAAATTTTCATCTTTCTTGTTCAACAGGAAACTCACAAAATGTACAGTGAAAAAAAAATGTATAGTGAAAAGTACTTGTAAAATGCACCTGCTTGCAAAGAATGACAATCCTGAATATCAGAACTTGGCAGGTGCCGGCGAAGAAGTCCTGTTTTATTCAGCACAGTCTTTAAGATGCAACTGTTTCCTACATCCCACATTGGCCTCTGGAGGTGAAACACTTACAGGTCTTTATCTTTGTCTTCAATAAGCTTCCAAGGCTCACCTGAGTTTTACAAATTGCCCTCTTCCACTGAACATATAAAGTTGACTAGACACCTCTTGAGATACAGCTAACAAATATAAAAGCTCTGAGTTACAACTTCCTCAGTGCTAGTAATATGAGTTTTCACAGAATTGGCTTCAAATGCCAAGAAACCTGCAATGTTATAAGTGAAATGCAGCCACTCAAGCTTCCGAAGAATGTTCTGTTTATGTGGCTGATTCTAGTCTCCTTTTGGTGCCAACAAAACAGCTGCATACTAAACAAGTGGTTTCTCTTTTCAGTTTAAATTTCTACAATTCTCAGAAATTATCTAAAAGTTTCATCTGAAGAAAGCTGAGTGACATAATTGAACATTATGAACTGTTTTCTTAGAAAAAAATGAAAGTTTTAATATTTAATTGCATGAGTCCTCTTCAATTTCCTGCGCCAAGAGGGCATGGTGGTGCATGCCTGTAATCCCAGCACTCAGGACACCGAGGCAGGAAGATCACTACAAATTTGAGGCTACTCCTGGCTATGTAGCAAGCTGAAGGTCAGCCTGGACTACATAATAAGACTCTGTCTCAAACAAACAAATAAACTAAAAACACATTTCCAGGGCGGCTATGATTCCTTTCAAACTGAACCCTTTCTCATCTGTTTGCAGACTTATAACTAAAGAAGTGATTTTTTTTTTTTTTTTTTAGGTTGAAATGAGACTGAATAGTAAGGATAACTGCATCTCTAAATTTAACTTTGAAGATTTTTCACATAAGTTTGAATGTCTGACTGAAAGTAAGGCTTTACTCTTGCACAACTTGAGGTACCCATAATGACTTATGAAGTCACAGTACAGCAAAGGAAGAAATGTGGAGCACACCTTTGGGTAGCTGAGAGGATTAAGTGACGTAATACACAGGACAGGTCTAAGGCTTGATAAACTCCTGAACCTGAAAGACCCAGTCTACCTCTCTCATTTTATAGATAGAACCGAGACAAGAAAGACACGCTCTTACTACACACACGAACAGATTTACCAAGTGTAAGAAAAGTAACTGATTTGAGGTACAGAGTAATCAAAAAATGCTACCCAATACTATCCTGTTTTAGATATTTAAATGGCATAAAATAATTTTTCTACTCTTATTTCAAGGGGCTTTTCTAATTTTTCTGTACCAATAACTTTATTCTACTCCTAAAGATTTTATGTCTTGATTCTAAAAATAAAACTAAATCGAGGAAAAGCATATCCTTAATCAGTGCACTGTCATTATTTACTTCTAAAAACATTTTCTTAAAATAATTCCGGTTTTGACGATTTAATATGGTGTCTGCACAAACCACATCAAATTGGCAAATGTCCCCCACCCCTAGCCGCCAGTTCTCTGTCTTCCAGTAGTGAGTCAGTCAACTGCTATTTTCAACAATAAAGCAGTCTGCAGGTTAACCAAGCTGCTTCTAGCCAGATCTGAGGAGAATAGCAATCTTTGTCAATATTAATCTTCATAGGTATTTTTACCTTTATTTTTGGTATGCCCAGAACTCACATGCACATCGAGTGGAAAAGGTAGGGCGCAGCCCGAGTGACTTGGTCAACCAGCTGCACCTGTCACGCTTTACCTGTTTGCAAGACCACACTTCTCTCTTCTCCATCCAGAGAAATAATCCTGAAGGTGTAGGTGGTTCCAGCTTGTAAATCTTTGGGATTGCATCCATAGGTGGTGTTGTCTATCTGAAAGGGGTGGCACCATGCGGGCCTCGAGCTGTCACTGCTGTAGATGACGCTAAAATTACAGGGCGACCCCAGAGTTCTCCACTGGATAGACAGCCACTGGCTGGAGACTGTGTGCTCCGTCAGGGTGAAGTTGCATCTCACTGACTCCACCAGGCCGGTCTGCAAAGGAAGCAGAGACCACCGTGTCACCCGCAGTGTGCACTGCCCGGGAAGCTGCCCCCCACTCATCCTGGCGCCCAGCCACCGCTGGGCCCTTTGCCCTCCGGCTGAGGCGAGGGTGCAGCGCCGGCCGAGGCAACTTTCCTCCTAGTTGCTCTCCCTCAGGAGCAGCTGGAGAGAAGGTGGCTCTTGCCTCCGACATCAGGATGAGTTCAGGCTGGCTGGGGCTTTCAGAAGAAACGCTGCCATCTCCCCCACCAAAGCGCAGCCGGAGAACCGCGAGTCCAGCGGGATCCGCCTTGCACGCTGCCCCGTGCCCGGCCGCTCACCTGCAGCAGCCCCAGCGCGATGCACAGGGCCAGCCGGGAGCCCTGGCCCGGCCTCGGCATCGCGCCCCGCGGTCAGGACCCCGCCGGGCCGGGCGCAGCGAGCGCGGAGCCACT